ATGCACACTTTGTCTGTACATGTGTAATTGCACTGTGTGCATGCCTGGTACCCACACAGGTCAGAAGAAGATTTCAGATCCCCTGGAAATGGTGTTACAGAAGGTTGGGAGCCACCATGTGGGTGCTGGGAACCCAGCCAGAGTCCTCCGCAAGAACAGTGGGTGCTCTTAACCACTAAGCCACCTCTCTAGCCCAATTCTGCCAAGTCTTTGTTCATATACAAGAACAGCATCAAAAGCAATGCTTACTATAAGAAGCTGAAGAACATATGATAAATAGTGTTAGTGATTTAAACAGTTCTTTAACTACATACAACACCTACCACAGGCTGAACTTCCTGGGAAGTCCCTCTATCCCAGTTTTGATCAAATGGCCACAAATTATTTATAATGTTGTCTCAAGTGGTAGATTGAGGCACTCCAGGAATGCTAACACTACAGAATAATGTCTTATATATGCCTATGCATATGTATGTACACACACAGAGACAAAACACACACACACACACACACACCAGGTTTCTTAAATCAAACAACCCTATGTTCTGGGAATTTTTATGTGAACAAGGTCTTCCTAAGGACAGACAAGACCCTTACCTTTGAAATTTCAGACCCATCTAGAAAACTGTGAAAACGATTTTACAGTTCTTCTGAAGGGAGATGAGGCTGCATGTTGTGCCATAAAATCTAAAACAGTGATAAATCTGGGTCATGCCTTTCACCTGGCTCCAAAAGAAATGTGTGACTCTGTTCTCCTAAGGACGGGAACACATTTTACATTGTATTACCAATCTAAAAGACAGAGCTCCCGTAGCGTACAGACTTGTACTGGTTAGACTAACTATCTGTGTCACTCAAAACTTGTTCGGAATGCCCAATCTCAGGATGAGTGTGTTTGAAGATACAGCCTCTAAAGAGAAGAAACAGAGGAGCAGGCTGTGTGAGGTTCCAGAAGAAATGATCTGCCGCCATCCAAGAGGGGAGCTCCCTCCAGGAACCCTTGACTGGGAGAAATGAATGCCTCCCGCTTATGTCACCAAATTGTAGTATTTATTGCATTACAGCAGCTAGAGCTGACCGTGACAAGTCCGTTTTGACCAAAGCAAAATTCACCAAATTAAAAAAAATAAAAAATTAAATGCCTTAGTCACTATAGCACAGAGGATGAGCCCAGATAGGTTAATGATTTGTCCTTTTAAAATAAAATATTCATGACGATGGGCATGTGTGATTCTTTGAAACCGCAACCTTGTTAAATATTTGATGATGTGTGATGAATGAATTAGCAAATGGTCACATTCTGTGGCAGACTAGGCAGTGGCCCTGATTCACTGTTCTGGGACACATAAAATAACATGTAATCAAGATTTCAGGGAGTTATAAGGAAATAACAGTTTGTGACCTTCAGGCTGATAAGTCAAATGATTCCATCTGCCTGTGATTATCTGAGGGTTGGGGGTGGTGATTTATCTCTTCACCAAGATCGCCTCACTTCTACACAACAACGGTCTCCACAGCTTGATTCCAGCAATGCTCATTAGTATTGCTGTCTTTGGTGTTGTTTAGGGACACCTTGCAGTGCCTGGTGGTGCTTTACTGCTTACTGCAGTCTAGATGTTCAGTAGCTCCGACACCCATGTGTCAGGTGTTGAGATTGTGGCACCAGCGCCGCAAGCAACTCCAAGGTATCGGGAAAAGAAAGACCAGACGTCCAGCTGTTTGTACTAATAGAAAGCATGTGCTGTCTTTATTGCCAGGAGAGTGTGTCTGTGTGCGTGTGTCTTCATTGCAAGTGCTAAGAGGTCTCTCCCTTGTAGGAGGGAGGAGCTTTTTATACAAGTTTACAGCACAGTGGAAAAAACCCCAGGTAGAAGAGATGTTGTTTTCCTCCTGCTGGATGTTGATGACAGAGGGTCAAGGCCAGGGCAGTAAGCCAGGACTAGAAAACAGAAAGCACTTGGACTGGAAAACAAGTTGCACTTGTAGGCTGACCAGCAACTCACAGAGACCCCATGGGGCTGGGGCCCAACAGAGATGTACTGGAACCTTTAAGAAGTAGGAAGTGGTGGAGATCTTTATGGTACTGAAGGGTGCATTTGAGGTGATTCTGGGATTCTGGAACCCTCTTCCTATTTGTGCTCTGGCTCACGATATAAAAAGTTTTTCCTCCAAGTCTACCCTCCTGCTACAATCTGCTGCCTCACCACAAACCCTAAAGAAGATCAGGCTCTCTGGTTTTTCTTGGCAAAGTATTTTCTTTGCAGCCAAACAGGTGAATTCTCAGGTAGAGGACCAGAAGAGCAGGGAATTAATAGAGCTGGAGAACACACGTTGAAAGACAGAGATGGGAGATTTTACACCTGCTGCTGCTGTTGCTTGTTTCCACTCAGGGAACTTGGAGCTTGAGATGCACTCCAAGAATGATGTTCCTCTTGGTTCAGAATGCCAAGACCTTCCTTGCCAAGATCCCCTATCATTAAAACAAGAATCCAGCAGATCGATACTGACCATCAATGGGTACCAGATCCAGAGTTATAGGCTTGATATCTGGTCCTGATTCAATCTTCATCTTAGCCAAGGAATGTGGAGGGTGAGCATTATGGCTCCCCCTGTGCCTACAGAATCTTGGCATCCATGCAGCAGCCCCAAAGTGTGACCCACTAATTGAGGCCTTGTTTTGTTTGGGAAACATAAAAGAGAACACTTAATGTGTCCTTGGGCACAGCCCCCAACCGATGCCCAATGCCACATTCAGACTAATATTTTATCTTCTGGGGTCTTTATTCCTGATCGATTTTCTTGGACTCAGACTGCTGGGGCCCCTGCTCTCCTCCCATTCTCACACCAATTTTCCTTTTAAGAGGATTTGACAAACTCACTCATTCCGAGGAATAAACAACTGACAAGAAAACAAATGAAACTTCCCATGACTCTTAATGATTTTGCTAATGATGTCATCTTTGTAGATCTTCAACTATGAAAGCAAAGAAACTATTGAAAAAATTTAAGCAGTTGGAAAATTAAGAGATATAATGTCTTTGACATCTTTTGCTGTTATTTTGGGTTACGTTTTTTTCCCCCCGTCATGATGCCACAGGAACGGTAGCTGCTTCTGCTAGCATGTGAAACCAAACAGTAAATATTTAATGAATTCTTCCAAGCTGGAGAGCTTATTAGAATGACTTTGCCCTATTCTCTCATGTATCCACACATCCTGGAAGTATTCCCAGGGTACAGTAGATGCTTAATAAATATTCATTGAATGAGTAAACAGACACCATCCTGTAGGAAGAGATCTGGGAAGGCAAGCAAACCAGAATTCCTTCTCGTAGAGAACACGCACAAGCACTTAAGTGTAAAAAATCAAAGTGAGAGATGTCACACAACAATATGCAATTGTTCTTATTTACCAAATGCAAAAATATAAAAAAATGAAAGGGTTAGCATAATATCATCTGAAAAATAAACTTGTATATTTAAATATTTTTATGAAGGGTATTAAAATTAAAGAACTTAAGGGGGGGTGTTCCATCCAAAAATCTAAGTAGTCCCACTGGCTGCCAAGGTTCCCGGGTGAGATTGATTTCAGGTCATTAGATTGACTATTAAATTTATCTACCAGAAACATATACTCGCAGAATACATGCCCACACTCTTGAAGCCTCCACGCTAGAGAAAAAGCAGCAGGTTCCCTTCCAATTCCAATTTTCTAACGCAACATCTATTGTGCACAGAGGACGAGGCACAGTTGAACCTAGAGAATTTATGCTAATTATCTTTGCTAACCACTGAGGTGGTATCCTTGGGAGTGCCTTGTAAGAGCCAGTTCTTTCATAGTAAAAAGAATATCCTAATAAATTAAGGTTAAAAAAAAGTCAGAGGTATGAACATCAGTCATATGCTAAATTCCCAAAAGTTGATTATCATTTTTATTATTGGACTTTTATTATTAAGACTTTTCAGAAAACAGATCTGGTGCTATTTGGAAGTCGGCTTGGTGATTCTCTGCACTTAGAAGTTGCACTGCTTGCTTCTGAGTGCAGGCATGGTGGGAGGCGATTTCTCAAAGTGTATGACAGTGTTCATGTGGGCCACTCAGACTTTGGCTTTTAAATCTAGGATTTAGTTCCAGATGTCCATTTCTCAATCTGAAACTTGTAACAATCTGATGTGACGCATATATATATATATGAATGTATGTATGTATGTATGTATATACACACACATATATATATATATATATATTACTGAGGAATGAAGACAAATTACTAATGGAACAGCACTGCTCAAAATCTTGCTCTTAGCTTTTTTGTTTCCAAGTTTTGTAACAATTAAATGACTCCAAGTCCCAGAAAACTGGCGTGCAAATGGCCACTATCCCCTAAACTTTCGGGAGAGTTTCCGTGCCTGGAACCCTCCCTATCAAGCTTTCGTTCTCACCTCCCGTTAATTCTCTTTCCTCGTCAGCCATCCCTCTTTCCATTAGATCACATAGCACAGATATTCACAGACATTTTTATAATATGGAAGCGTATGAAACCTCCCAGTTTACAAAACTTCGTTAAATTATTAACAGGTCTATGGGATATATTAACACAAAATTAAACATCCACACAGAGACTCGGCAATTGTCAGGAGACATAATATTAAAGCGTCCACCTAGTAAATTTCCACTGATCATTTTGACAATGCTGGGAACGACAGGCAACGCACTCGGTAACATCTCCCTCTTTCACGTCTATCAGGTTCATAACACAGCGTGATTCAAGAGAGCAGCATGCAGCAAATGAGGGAGCCTTAAACCGGACCTGCAGCTCTGACTCCCTTGGCAGTCTGTTTATAGAGATCCGTGGAGTTATCCGTCTGAGGCACACTTTAAAAGTTATCCTGAAGGGACAGATCCTGTCTCCTTTTACAGCGCTAACATGATGCACACTGTTGTTTTCCCTCCTCTCAACAACCTGGGACGGCCACTCGCACTTAGTTTAAGGTGATCTTACCTGAGAGAGTGGCACTGAGAACGAACAGGACCAGTAAAGAGGCTGTCATGATGTCTGCTCTGGGGAGGTGGACTTCTTTCCCTTCAACCACACAGCATTTCCCCCCCAGGAAGGAGCAGGGTTGCAAAACAAAATACAAGTGGTTCAAAGTCTAGGCAGAACCCACGACCAGCTGCCTGAGATGAAAATAGTCACAGGTCATCCCCCTTCGGTGTGGGCTTCTTAAAGTGCACTCCACTGATGCCCGGTGAGCTGTCTTGTGAGGCTAAAACATCTCTGGGTCCTAACTCCTGACTTATTATTTCACTCTCTTACAGAGATGGGATGAGAGAGAAGGACGAGGCTAGGTGAGGTTAAGATGGTCCTGTGATGTTTTCCTGTGGTTGTAAATCTGTGTCATAAGAACGCCTGCACTTGCGTGGCCTCTGTCACAGAGACTAGTGAACACTGCCCACCAGTGGCTTTCCAGTTTGAACCAGGGGCTCACTGGTGAAGATGATGTCCAGCCACCTTCCACGGTTAGTGTGGCTTGCGCATCCTAATACTGGACTAACCTTTTGTTCCCTTGAGCCTTCCTGTCCCCCTCCTCCTGGCTGCAGGAGATGAGCTGAAGTGCCTGTCATCTCTCTGCGTCTCTTATGAGGCTGTGACATGGTTCTTTCCTGTTTCACCTTCTTCGTGGTCGATCAAAGGAATGATTGGGACTCATACAGTTTTCAGTCCTGTGATCAATGGGCCCATCACTTCAGGGTTGTGTCCAGGCCATGCACAGGCAGGAACACGCAGGAAGTGAAGGAAAGGGTGTCCTATTACCAGTTTTCAGATGCCCAGATGGTGCTCTGGGGTGAAATGTCACAAAATGAAAGGAGCCCTGCCCTAGGAGCCAGGAGATCCAAGCTTGGTCGCCCATCTATCCTCCTGGGGCTCCCCTTAGAAGTTCTGGCCCACATCTCTCTGTTCCACCCCACCTGTCTCTGATATGTACCCCAAGCTCTTATGGGAGGGGCCACCTGACATCTTTCCCCCTGAGTCTCCATGGCCTGTCGCACACTAATATTTAAGATTAGCCCTTAAAGAAAGACAGGAAGGGAAGACACTATGCTGTCTCGGGAATAACGTGGCTATCACTCACCCTGATGTACAGCAAGAATCCCTTTTCTTCCTGGGAAATCACCTGCACGTATACTTGTCATTCCATTATGGGGCAGGAAATTCTCAACATTAAAAGACTCCCGCCTTTTAGTCCAGGACAGCAAAAGAGTCTGGCAGGCTTCCACAGCCCTGTAGCCTCCAGTCTGTCTTGACCCCAGTGGACAGGTCAGTGGCCATCAACATGGTCCTGCAGAATTGGCAGCAGCAGCCCCTGGTGCCCCGGCTGATGCACAGGATCCGACCGAGATCACAAAGTTCCCTGGCTTCCCTGAGGGCAGCAGTGCTTCCCTCCACCCAGGCATGCTAGCAGTGGTCCAGCGGGCTAGAAGGGAGCAGCTGGCCTCTGCTCCTATGTCTTAAGAAGCCCCCTTCTGCCTTCTGTTTCACGGAGGGCTCTTCTCCATCCACCACAACACCTCAACAGTCTTCCCAGAGAACACAGGCTTTGGGGAGAAGCAGGCACCCGGCCGGCGCTGGAAAATAAGTTGTCTGTATACAGCTTCTGCTTTGAGGTCTCTGCAAACACAGAGGCCTGGCTCCCTTCCAAAAAGATGGATGGGTGTGAGAAAAAAAAATCAGACACAAACGAAGCACAGCTTGTCTCTCAGAAAACGTCCTCTGAGCCGGGTGTGAACGTTCTGCTCACCGCTCTGCAGAGGTAGCACACATCTGCCAGGAAAATGCTACGTGTGGCCAACCAAGCAGAAGCAGCCCGTTCTCCATCGTCACTGGAGAAAGCGGCAATATCCGGGGCTGAACTCTGTAGATGCATACTGACCCGGTGTGTCTGGTGGTAGAAGAGGCTCTTGACACACTCCCAGGGCTCCAGGGCTCTCACGGACTGCCTCCATAAAAGGCGTACTCACAACAGTGATAAAGGAAAGTTAACTGAGAAAAAACAGGCACAGTGTCCATTCGAAAAGTCGGTCATGCTGAGCAGGCTTTAGACCGTGAGAGTGGTGTTGTCCATCGGCTAATAAGAACTCTTGTAGCCAATCAACCTTCCTCATCCAATCGCCTGCCCCTTCCTTGTAGCGCACATGAACATGCTTGCACACACGAGTATACACACAGCCAAACAATTAGCTACCTTATATTCTTGAAGACATTTATACTATGAAATTTGATACCATCACAAAGAAAAACGGAAGTTATCGCGGAAGGCTGTGGGTGGTTCCAAAGCATAACTGAGTCGGCCCGGACTAAATGAGAGAATGTAAACGAGGCATTAATTAAAATCACTTCAACCTGAGAGAAGGTGTCTAGTGGTTGGATGTACACTTGACACCTTAAAGCAGTGTTTCTCAACTTGCCGATCGCAACCCCCAAAGACCATCAGAAAACACAGTGTTTATAACTAACAAAATTACACCTATGAAGTAGCAATGTAACAATTTTATGGTTGGGGCTCACCACAACGTGAGGAACTGCATTAGAAAGGTTTAGAACCTCTGCCTTAAAGGCAAGGAAGATGTGTCTCAGAGGGCAACATCAATGTAAGTACCGGGAGGGCAACATCAATGTAAGTACCGGGAGGGCAACACCAATGTAAGTACCGGGAGGGCAACATCAATGTAAGTACCGGGAGGGCAACATCAATGTAAGTACCGGGAGGGCAACATCAATGTAAGTACCGGGAGGGCAACATCAATGTAAGTACCGGGAGGGCAACATCAATGTAAGTACCGGGAGGCCACCGAGCCAAACCCAACAGCACAGCTTTGTCATCCACTGCAGAAGACAGAATCAAAATACAGTCTCAACCCAGATACGGAAAAGAGGGCCTGCGCCCTCCCCCAAATGATGTGATGGACTTTGATGATCCCCCGTGGAGGGTCGCACTCTCCCTGGGGAGTGGGTGGTGGGTGGGTTGGGGGCTTCGTAGGAAGCATGGGAGGGTGGGAGGGCAAGGGAATGGGGGGATGGATATGTAATTTTCTATAAAATAAAAAAAAATGTGGCAAAAAATAGTCTCACAGGGCTGGATGCTTGGCCCGTGCTAACCAGAGATAATAGCCTCCTTAGTGACTAACTTCTGCTGCATGATTTTCTTTAAACCATTCATGAAAACTACTGCATTGTGCTGTTAGTGTGTGCGCACTCACACACGCCTACAAGGTACCAAACTCAGGTCATCATGCTTGGCAGCAAGTGCCTTTACCCCCTGGACTGGCTCGCTGGCCCTTTTCCCACAACTCTTTACATGGTTCTACAAACCACGCCTCCTTGAGCACTCCGTTCAGGGAATGTCCTTGGTTGCAGAGGGTGTTGTGACACAGTCCTGAAGGCTGGCATGGAGTAGCTTGGCCTCAGCCGAATCATTCGGCACGTGCACATTATTTTGCTTGGTGTAATGTGGCATAAGAAGACATTTACGTCAAGAGGCTGGGAGTCTAGGAAAGGAACTATTAGAAGCAATGGAGAGTCAGGAGCTGAGCGTAGGAAAGAGTCTGGAGGAGCGATATATGTGACAGCTAAGCCCCTCACCACCATCATTCCGGAAACTCGCAACCAAACCAAAGCCCAGGATGAGGGAATCATTTAGAGAATCACACAGCTTAACGGCTGCAAAGTCGGAGTCAGAACTGATTGATTCTCCTATAAACCAATACTGGTATCTTTGCGTGGTTTCCAGAGCCCTGGGTCATAAGGACCGGTCCTGGATCTAAGCACCCACCTATATTGAAATGACAAAAAAAAAAAAACATACAAAATATAGACAATTCACTCAGTTACAATATGAGGCAGTCTGGAATTCCCAGTTTGCCTCTGCATTCTGCACACCTGAGTTACAGCCCAAAGTAGCGATTGAACAAGAACTGGGAATACAACGGTCCTCTTTCCTCCGGGCGACTCTGTGTTACTTTTTTTAGTAATAAGGGGATGGAGAACATGTCACTCTCAACATAGATTTCCTGTGAGCAGCTAGACTGAAAAAATGTGGTGGGCGTTATTGTCGTCGTAGTCCTCATTGTTTTAATCTGAGTCTCACTACGTAGCCCTGTCTGGCCCCGAATTTACTGTATAGATAGATCAGGGTGACCTCAAACTCACAGAGATTTGCCACTCTCTGCCTCCTGAGTGTTATAATTAAAGGCACGTGCCACTACAGTGGATAAAAAAAAAGACAATTTTTAGAAGCACGCCGTACTGCCTAGGTCTGACCATAGCGCAGAGCACTTAGTGAGTCAACAGTTAACTGTGCCTTTGGAGTTAGGGACAGTGAAGGTTGGATGTGGGACTTGGGAGCCCTCTGGTGGATTGTCGTTCACACTGCAGGTCCGCGCAAACACGCTCCTTTTAAAGGGGCGTGTGCTTTAGTTTGGATATTAATTTTCCTTACATTTAAATAAAAGTAATAAATTCTACCTACATCCTAAACTCTGCAGAAGTGGGCAACGCTCCATCATTCTACAGGCAGCTCCCAAGGAAGAGACCTAGAGCAGCTATAGCCCACAGGGTGGATTCGCTGATGCTATGACCGCACAGAGCTCACACCCAGGGCCCGGGGACTGTGTGAGCACCGCCAAGTGGCTTGCACGGATGCCCTTCACATTAATCACACATGGCAGCGTTTCCCGGACCTACCCCAACTGTCCAGTCAGCTCGAAGCTGTGAGAAACACAAGTCGCAGGTCGCCATCCACTGACTGACGTCCACTTCCAAGTTAAAGCACCATAAGGGGCCAAGTGCCAACAGCTGATGACAGTGGACCCAAGCCACACTAACGTCCTACAAAGAGGGCCCGGAGGGGCCTTGTAGCTATGTGAGCTACAAAAGGCTCGGAAGTGAAGGCTATTGGAAAAGAAGATGTGTGTGACCTTGGAGGAGGTCCAGGAACGTGTCTGCCTGGTAGAGTAGGATGTGTCTTGTCTCTCACTCCTCACCTTCGCTGATCATCCCCACTCTGTGTCGCCCCACCCCCTTTTTTGCTCCCTAATGCTTCATTCCTCCTGTGTGAAGACACATGGT